GTATCATGTTTGCAAATTTTCACTGAAAAATTAAGCTTTAATCGCTCTGTGCTAACTTAGATAGTAAATAAATTAAAACAAATACTTATTTTGAATGCTAAAAAATAATTAGAAATCAAACCTTAACTTTAAATTAATAGAACGATTTACGCGCATATGAAATATTTCATTGTCATCAGCTGGTACCCATATTACCGCATTACTAAGCAGATTGCGCCAAAAATATGTTCTTTAATTATTTACTATTTATACATATATACAATTTTACTTATCATAATTAAATTGTTTTGTTATTGTATTTTTTGCAAGGAACATGATTTTTCTTACAGGATTCGACTAACCTGTGAGTTTTCTATCGAGAACCAGAAAGAAAGCAGAAATGTCTCACTCATCAGTATATGTCATTTGTTTTACCTAATTTGTATCAAATGAATGCCGACGACCCATAAACATCCACTTCGAAAATTGAAGGAAAATAAATTATCTTAATAGCACTATAATACAAGTCGAAAGAAAATTCGTTTTACCGCTTATACATTCCGACTGGCTAATTTGAATGGCTATCGGAGTTTTCGTCGTCGAAATTTTCAGTTACTTGATTACCATTTTTATTGCTTTCTATTTCATCCATTACCTGATTTTTTAATGCTCCAATAAAATAGACGAATCCAGTAAATTCACTTCAAATTTATTTGCTTGCCAAATGTGCTATAATAGCAAAATCTTTTTCGTAGATAAAAGTAGTGAAATTATGTAGACTATTGCGAATACTTAGGTAATTAATTTGAAAATTTAAATTATATTTCCAGATAAATTGGCAGCAAGCACTTTATTAAGTGCTAAATTTTAGAACAAACAGGAAAAAATAAATTCTCTCTCCCACATATTTCAATAAAAGAACAAGTTTGCTAACAAACAATGACAATGGGGCAAGCATTATTAAGAATGAACTAACTAGAAGCTTAGGAGTCCAACCTTTCTACGGAAATAGCAATCTGAACAATAAAGCGAAACAGTGGCAAACATTCTTTGGAAAGCAATTGATATCCATAAAAAAATCTGAATCWGGTGATTTGTTCCCCTGTACCTGAAAAACTACATTTTGCCAAATATATATTTATAAAAAGTATCTGCCAATAACAACTATTGTTCTCCAATTAATTGACTCTTCCCGTTTACACCACAACTAATCATGGTTAAAATATTAATTAAGGAAGCAAAAATGAATATATAATAAAATAACAATAATGCAAAAAAATTTTTTCAGTAAGTAAATTAGTTTGCTTGGCTGTATACATCAAGTTTGTACAACTAATTTTACTCTATTTTTATATTTGAAGCTGTCGTGTCTACCCGACGTTTAAACATGTAAGAAAAATTATGAAACTTGAAGCTACCGAATTGAAATTTTACTAATAAAATGAACGTATGTACATCGAGTAAATGCTCAAACTAGATAAGAATATAAGTCTGTGTGACAATCTCTCTGATGCTAACAAAGGCAAACATGTGGCAGAAATACGTTTAACGTGATATCCTTCTCAACAAATCATTCTCAGTTTTCCGAACTACTCTTATCGAGCTCTTTGAAAGCGCTTAACAAGACAAATAAAATTCTAAGGGTTGTATGTTTCATTGGCGACCATTATTGCGTTTTGTTTAAACAGGCTTGTGAGCAAAGCAAGTTTCTGAATATTGTTCAGAGACAATAAGACTTAAGTGTTCAAACAACACAATAACCAGAAGGTTGCTTTCAAGGCATTTGGTTAAATTATGTTATTTGAGTCTCTGTTGCAAGCAATTTCCGTCAAGGCACGTAGTATTTGATATACGACATACCCAGACATATGATACATAAATCCGGCTTTGAGTAATAATAGAGAAAGAGCATCGTGAACATGAGGGTTTACAATGTCGGCCATTACGGCATCTCCTTTCCTTTATGGCAATAAATTACACAAGCACGTTAAAATTTGATGACACGGTTAAATTGCCCTTGTTTCGAATGATACCGCTAATAACATCTAAAGATAATATTGCAACAACAACAATGTACCGAAATTCCCTGATGAATTAATTAGAACTTTAGTAGGGCTTAGCTGGAATATAAAACCATCCGATACTTAGAACTACTCTAAACATATGTGGGACTTTCCGAAACAGTAATTTGCCAAATACCCTAGAACCAACGCGACAGGCTAGTGTGGGTACGCAGGTGAGCACACCTCTGAAGATGCTAGACAAATGTACCAGAGAAACGTCGAGATAAAAGCCACAAAATTTTGTTGGTTTTTGTGTTCAAGAACTCATTCGCCCTTCCAGTTTAAAGAAAATTAACTATCGTTCTGCATTGAGAATAAGTCCTCGTTAATTCTAAGATCAAAGAAGAACAGTATCGTTCCCATCCTTGTATATTGTGTTGACGAGTGAGGACGCAGATATTTTAGTAGTCACGTTTTGTTAGTTTAGTTAAAGCCGTCTGAAAAATGGTCCATRRTGTGTTTGCGTTCAGAGWCCATAAATTTTTACAATACAGACTTTTTTCTGGCACAATTTCTGGCAGCCTGGACTTCGCGCGAACAACTTTACACTAGAAAACTAGTTTYACTAGATTTCAAGTTCCAATAGATTATTGTGAGTTTGTCCCGAATATATATTTTTTTGCATTCCAGTTGGTTTTCCAAAAGTGGTCAGACTAACAAAATTAATTTGCTAATTGCTTCTTCTTTGATTTTTGGGAATTTAATTCTAAAGTTTTCCAGGTTTTGTTGAACGTTTATTCTATCTTTCATCTTTATTTTGCACGAGATTGAGTCAAAATAATCGTTGAGATCAATAGCAAACTTTTATTGGTTGATTGGTATGATTAAACGCATATCTTGATTGCTTGATGCCTCTACATACCTCCAGACAAGCGACACATGTTCATTATTAATATGCTCAACTTGGCAAAATTAACTAAACAGAATTCACATTAACAACGGAAACAAGAAAATAACGTAACCGTTTTTTGAAAAATTTCACAGTTAACACTTACCAAATAGCACGCAAAAATCACTAGAAATTTGTACACAAACTTCACACGAACTTTAATTCAAAAATAAATGAGTTCAGTTTTCTTTTCCTCTTCAAATTAAATGGTATATAAATTGTGTATCATTAGTAAGTTTCCTACAAGCAACACTTTGTAATTGTTCGGAAAAAATCTGAAGAAAAATCTGATCTTAAACTCAACCGTTCAGATGCAGCGACTTTTAAAGTCTCAAGTGCACTAAAACTAATCACACAACAAAACAACTCATTACTGCTTCCTTTTATGATCATATTCGTCATTTTCGATTGGTTTGTTCGAGAAAAAACTGAAGAAAAGTCTGGTCCAGAATAAATTCAATACCTCAGGTACGGCAGCTTTACAAGTTTGAAGTGCGCCAAAACCTCTCGAATCACTCAACAAAACAGCTCATTACTGCTCCAATTTATCACATTCATATTACTAATTTTCGGTTATCAAAATTCCAACTATGAACTTGGCGACTGTCGAGCAAGGTAACATATTCGACATTGATACATATTTTAAATGTTTTAAATACTTCTTTCATAAAACTTATTTTATCTTTCTAGTTATTTTGCATACAAATAGTTATAAAGTTACAAAAGGTAGCTTCTTTCTACAGCATGCGAACCTCTTGAAGGCGTCTCTGCAAATACTGGATTAAGTATAATTTATCCGAAGGATGCCTAATCTGGTTAACAAAAATCAGAAAATTTCGTTAAAATCATCGTGCTTTAGATTAATTTACATTTTAATAAAAGAATCGTTTGTGTTCAAGTTTGACATTCTGTATATTCAAAACTATTAACTAAAACTTTACGGATGCTACTATGCTGATTTATTTGATCGAATAACACTGTTATAGTGGTCGTATACATTGTATTAATTATTATCTCCCCTAATTCTTCATTACCTGCAAGCTTTATCTCACGTCTTTGTTTTTAAATTTAGCCCCAATTGAAGCAATCTAAAGGTGCTAAATCCGGTAATTTTGGTGACCAGTCAATGGCACCTCTACCAATTTCCAGCGCCAAGGAAAGAATGATTTAATACGTTGGGTGTAATCAATGCTGTTGAAACCCTACATAATCGAACGCTTCTCAAAACTTCCTGTTTGTGTAATAAATAACTCAACGTACGCTTGACCCGTTGAATTGCCATCAACAAAAAAAGATTCGCGTATTTGATTGCAAAATATTCCTGCCCAAACATACAGTTTTTTTAGTTTTGCGTATGAATAACGTTTATCCCGTGGGGATTATCCTAGGACCAATTGCATGTTGTGCCGATTAATTTCTCTGTGCAGTTGAAATGTAACGTTACAGAAACAAGCCCCAAAGGTTAATTGTCTATTTTTATCACACCGTCTCATTATCTCGCAAAATCCGAACTTTTGATCAAAGTCATCCATTTAAGTCCAGATTATTTTCCCATGCCAGTTTATTTATCGCTCTATCGAACGGATATATGGACATTCAAATTTTGGTGTTCTATACGGCGATCGAGCTTTTACAGAGACTGACTGTTGGTACTGAAGCACCATTCTAGACGCCATTAATATCACAATGAGTGCTCGATTTGAATGATTATGAATAAAAATGTTACCAACTTCGTATCGCTTTATTTTACGGTCTCACCCTTACAGTATAAGAATATAAATTCCTTATTTTTAAGATAAAGACATTATGCGATCTAACACTAAACACACTTATTCCAATGAAATTAAATCTGAACAAACAAAAATAAAATACTAACGTGAATCAATCACATCTGATGACAAGACTTCCCTAAAGTCGGTGAAAAGGACTAAATAATTTGAAATATGAGCGCCAATTAGAGCGTCATCAGAAAGAAATCGAACAAAATGTTTCAAATAAGTTAATTATTTTTGCACGAGTCGGAAATATATATAAAAAAGTGGAAATTCCTATTAAGAACTGGGACTTACCTTAAACTCCCTCATGCCTAGAGTTCCATAAACGAGCAGCTGACGTTCGTCTTCAAACAAACTTAAGTCCGATAATCGGCTTAGAGTGGAGAGATCCTGAGAAATAATATTAAAGTTAGATATACTGTATTTTGGGCGAAACTTCAGTAGGTTTTTAGTACAAGCGAAAAGTGCTTCAAAGCGACTTTCTGATTAAAAAATAAAAAATCTGCCTGTCGAAATACATTTAATGGGGTATTTCCGAAAGATCGTACAAACCGTTAGAATATAATACGCATCACGCTAATAAATACTCAAATTTATAATCAGACAATTTAATCTTCCATTATTCCTACTTAAAAAAGTGATTTGGATGAGGTTTCAATTATCCAAAACTTTAAAAAATATGGTTTTACGACTTCAACTTGATTTTAGTGCGTATTTCAACTCAAACTTGCCGTTTCGTGTGTTAATACAATTTTCTTAAATTGTATTTGGTTTCAAGAGAAAGATTGCAAAGACCGTCAATATGTACAAAAGCTAAAAGACAAAATATCCTACCTTAATGTACCCGTTGCCCGATTCAAATAATCCCGTTTCAGTACTAGACAATTTCCCTCTATACAGCACCTCAAATGGTGGCGTTTCGATAGTCCTCAAGTCTTTGGCAACTAAATAATCTTTGGCAGCGCACAGCAGGGTGTCGAACAGACCGTTGGCTTTGGTTAATTGAGATTGGGCCAATTGCCTTAAACAAAAATTAATTTATAGAAATAAATAATCATGACGTTCATCAATTGCAAAGTTATCAAATTTGTTACAATTATAGTGATGATTATTGCTCTTTGAATATAGTTAATTAGAACGTTCAAAGAAAAAATGGCCATATCAATTTAAGCAAGAAGAGGTTCAGTTGCAGCTGATGCAGCTAACAAACTCGTCTAACTGGAATTTATTAAATTAAGCAAATGCTGGTCCCTTTATTATTACTTTCCACTTAATTATTGCTTATCATTGAAACTGGGACTTAATCGTAAAGGTGAATTTATTCACCGAAAGCTAGTCTAATTGCTATATTGATATGTTGAATAAATCCTTTTGGACTTAACAAGAAAGCGCAATAATCCCAGATACACCATCTCCAACCAAAACTAATCCTAAATTCAAATCCCCATTTTGATGCAAATCCATCCAAGTCGATAAATGATACATCGGACTTTCAATCAAGCTTTAGCAACTGAGTATCAGACACTAACGCTGAAATAAGGAAACCTCCCTGTAACATTTAACTGATTCAAAAGCTCTCTATGTAATTGATACGGAACTAGGAACTTCGCTGCGGATTTAAAATTTAATGATTTCAGGTCATTCTATGATGGATTACAATTACAATGGATGATCTTTTATTTCTCTCTGAAATATGTATTACCATTGTTTTTTCAGTTCAATCTGTATATCAGAGTGCTTCAACATTAGGAAGCTGCTATTATTTTAGTCATTAAATCCTCTTCTTTGGGTTGGTGTTATTTTCTCATTTGTTAAAGCGGTTTAGTGCGTTTTTTTCAAGTTGGGCGGTTTAAACCGGGAAATTATCCCGTGATTTACACTGAAAAGGGACTAGCTCAGCCCGTCAAATTCAATTCGAAAACCACAAATATTATTAATATAGTTTTACTTCATTATTTTTTTGCTTTAATGCGGAAATAATTCCTGTCGAATGAAAAATTAATTATTCCCAAATAAACGCGTTTTAAAAAATGTCAAAGGTGTAACTTTTATAATTTATATAATATTTTACGTCAAATATAAATGCCAGTCGATACTTTTTTCCTTAATAGTAGCGCGTTCTATGCAGGTTGATTTACAAGTGTCATCATTCCTTTAATTAATGAAAATTATTTGGAGAGGACAGAAAAATTGTTTTAGAAAAAGTTTTGTTTAGTTCTCGAATATATTAGTTCTAATGATAATGATAAAATGATATTGTCGCCTTAATGATATTTTCAACCAGTTCAATCGCCATTTGTCAAGCAAAACTTCGCAAAATTTCTTTTAAATAATGATTCTATTTTTCGTCATGCAAAAGCTTAAAGGCAACTGTTCATCTAGGTAAGAAAAATTACCTCGTTGGAGTGTTTTTGTAATTAATCTTTAAATTATGCTGCTATTTCAGTCAGAAAAAATCAAAGTTTAAATGTCAAAAGAAACACCAAGTACAAAAAAACCTTTAAATGCACGGGACAGATATTTCTTGATCTGGAAGTTTTGAAGGAAATTCGAAGCAAGGAAAAGTTTGACTAAGGTTTATGTCTACCGTTCTCTCATTTTCGAGAGAAAAATGTCCTTAAAAATGTTAAAGGAAGTTGTGTGCAACCATTCCATCAGGTCCAAACATTAATACTTGCAAAAAAACAAAACTGAGGAAGTGATGTTGAACATTTATATGATGAATTATGGAAAGACATAGGTAAAACTCACGTAATGGGTGTACACATCGAAATCTTGACACTCATATAACTTCCATGCGAAGTTTTTCCCCAGAAAACTTTCCTTTAATATCAAGCTGCGACATAAGATCCAAACTTTCTTGAAAACAACGAAAAATGATGTTGTGAAGTAAAGCTGAGCAGTTTTGTGATAAATTCTGCAGTTGTGATAAAACTCATGTAATGAGAGTACGCAGTGAAATGTACGTACTGACATCATAGCTTCGGAAAGTTAAATTAAAAAATACATTTTACAGCATTCAATTATTTACAACTGAATAAAGTGACTTCATTCAACTGTAAAATTATCTCGCTTTTTTATATTTGCTATTAAGTTGTATCTGCAAATGTGMTGTTGATTTATTTATAAAGCAACCGATTTTTTCTTMATTTTAACGAGAAATAGAAGTTACAATGAAAAACATTGTTGGCAAATKTCTGACTCAGTTTCTTGTGAATATCTCAGTAATATTTTTTTATGTGTCTATTTYCAATCAATCTGTATTMTTGTCTGTTATAYTGYATTAAATTATTCGGATCATTTGATCCCAAGTGACTTTTACAGCAAACYCTTCGTAGRAAAGCAGAMATTTTCAGGATTAAACAAATGCCTAATTTCATAAAGGAATTTTATTTAWTAATAAGCTGYCCGGAACTTAACAGTGGCTAATATTTTATTRCWTTTRTTGGCATATGAAATTTAAACTACGGTTGATAATGATGAACYCAATSCCATTTGGTTTTTTTGTCTACGGGCCGTATTACGTAATTTTCSTCTTAAATTGAATTTATTATATTCCTATCTAYCGAATGGGCCCAGGATTTACACACGGCTCTYATRTATTATTGTTTTGAAAAAAAAAGAAAAGTRCACAWTCAACATCAATTTAACAAATCACATTCATTTTTAGTCAAAATTTGTTWAAAAAAAATTCTAGTGTAGAAACACGGTATTTTCTGGGCAACTTTAATAAATACACCAATAACTAGTAGAAGAAGAATGTCCATTATACAGGGTGTTTGGTAAGTAGATGCATTCCTTGTAGGWGGTGAAAATTACGTGCACTACGTAATTTTCSATATGTTTCTTTAATAGACAATATTCCGAAAACTCTTGGTCTCSGATCTASAGCCTGTTATTATATTAATTAAAGAAATGATATTTTTTAATATTGCGRAAACCCCTTGGAATGGTTTAAKGAAATTTTAYAGACTYWKTTTGMASGTTTTTTTATAGACTCGTAACAGCAATACATGTTTTGTGACAAAAAATGTTATTTTAGCTTCGCCAGTGGCGTAGGCACAGGCACTGTGTCTGTAGATAATKTTATCTAATTTTTCTAAAAATAAATATTATTTTTCAAGTTCCTGTTCAATTTGAAAGAGAAAWGGTGTCTTCGCTTTTTTTCTATAACGCACSGTGTTTGAGTAMAAAAGTGARAATCGATTTATTGCCCAGCGTAATCGGGTTTTTATTTAAGAAGCTGGCTCTGCATTARTTATGGTCACTGATTKAAAAAAATTAATAATTGCTTYTTTTTGCGTTTYWTTTTTGTAATAAAATTGATACMATSTAAGTGTACAATTTTTGTTTTCATAATAAACCCTACTTAATTACAACCTGATTGAGATATGCAGCACATCGATTTTAATTTATTTACTCGAAAACGGGACGTCGCAAAAGMAAAAGTCGAGAGACCTTTTCACTTCCAAATTGAACAGAAATTTGAATCATTAGGTTTACTACTTTAAAAATGAGTGGCSTAACATTTTTCATTTAAAATKATTTACAGTCGYGCCTGTGCCCACGCCACTGAAAAAGCTAGAAACAAAATTTTCATCACAAAACATGTATTGTTGTTAAAAGCCTAAGCCTGTAAAATTTCGTTTAAATATTCCAAGGGGTTTCCSAAATWTWAATCGAAAATTAAAAMAWWWTTTTAATCAAAATTTTATCACCYTGTAGACCGGAAACTAAGCATTTTCGAAAMACGGTATATTAACGAAATATATCCTAAATTACTTGCACTATCACTCCTGCAAGAAATGCATCTACTTACCAAACGCCCTGTATAAATATGAATCAAACAATTATACTGGAAAATACTGATACTGGAAAAATATAACCAATTTCAACTAACCTTAATTTCTCATCTTCATCTGCTAGAGATTCCTGAACGGAGTATTCGACCACCACACCTTTTAGCTGATCTTTCAATATCGTGGTCAAAACCTCCTTCAACTGAGTCCAGATAGTTTTTGCTATGATTTGATCTGCAACAAAGTAGGAATTACTCAAATCACTTATGTTGCAGCTTAGAAACTCACCATCTGTTGGACGCGTGACTTTCGCCTCCACTTTGGTATCTCTATTGATGAAATAACTCACCTGAAACAAAGCTAAATATGATTTTCGAAATTTGCTACTTTTGGAAAAGTGTTTGCCAAAAGAACTAAACCTACCGAAACTTCAGAATTCCAAGTATAATCCACATCATAGTTTTCAGGAACAAACGAGTCTCCCTGAATGAGGAGGCCTACTCTGCCTTTGACTGTCACATCCGTGTACACTACACTAAAAAGAACATAAAAATTTGAACTACAGAGAAGTTGTGTTGATCGTTTGGTCGATAAATGCAATAAAGATGTGAACAAAATCAAATGTATTTTCTGATTAAAACATCGATCCCAGCTAGCATTAATATTGCATTCTCAGAGGAGAGAAGTACCTACAGGCTGTAGTACATAATATTTCATTACTATAAAAGTGATGTTTATATGTAGTGTAAAGGCAACGAAGCCCTGTTCATATCGCCTACATAATAAAATGAATATTAATACAAATTGATCTTAGCTGTACGTTGCCTATAAGAAACAGTAACACAAGTACAAGTAATCAGTAGTAATCAATTTACTGCTGATTGGTCCAAAAACGGACAAACATGAAATGATTAAAATAAAATTCAGAAATTATTATTTGCCCAAAGACTATGACGAAACTCAAACATATTTCTTATGTTTCCAAAATTCTGATTTATTTTCCTGACTGCGTGTACTTGTTATGATTTTCTTACCTTTCCTGGGTCTCAGTCAAAGTGTGAAGTAAAAATTTTTAATATCGTTTATTTCATTACGTTTTGGCAAGACAACAGCGCCTTTATCAGATTTAAAGTTTACACAAACTCATGATTGGTAAAAATCAACGTTCTTTTAGGTCTACGCCTTCTTGAAACCTTAAATTTGTGTCTTTTTCTAGAGAAATTTAAGGTTTCAAGAAGACAAAGGCCTAAAAGATCGTTGATTTTTACCAATCATGAGTTTGTGTAAATTTTAAATCTGATGATGGCGCTGTTGTCTCGCAGAAACGTAATGAAATAAACGACGTTCAAAATTTTTACTTCACACTTTAACTGAGACCCAGCAAAGATCAGAAAAACATAACAAGTTTCCAAAATTGCAACGTTTTAACAACAAAAAATTACCGAAAAAGTAATTCTGCTAACTGATAGTTACTTAATAGCACATAAGATTTAAAAAATAAGCCCTCAATCCTTAACTTATCTTTCAATATAAATCATATTGATAGAAATTTGCGTCAATAATAATCAGTTTAGAGTTGACTGAGAAGAAAACTGACAAAAAAGACATGATTAAAATAAAACACACATAAATTATTATTAACTGAGAACAAAAGCGGAGCATAGTTCTCATGTCTCCAAAAATGCAACGTTTTAACAAAAAATTAAACCAAAAAGTCAGTAATTCTTTTAACTGATTAAGCTACTTAATAGCCCTTAAAATTATAGTGTAGACCCGTATGTCATACCGTTAGAAATTTAATCGAACTGTGCTTACGTGATGGCTCCATTACTTGACACGGGTAGGACGTTCTGAAGAGCAACATTGTTGACTTCATAGTTTCCGCTGACCGGTAAATCATCCAATTTGAAATCGATGTCCAGGCAAAGTTTGCATAGATTGACGCCTAAGTTAATCACTTTAAAGTCCGGCAGCCACTCGAGAGTCAATTTGCTCAGTTCACTGGAAAATTGCAAAGAAGTTCCGGTTACTTGAAGTCGAGCTGATAATGAGAATCTTCGAGTAGAAAATCCAGGATTTTTTGTGTTTTCAGTTGCACTGTCAGCAGATTCTACGTACTTTAATTTCACTCAATTGCACTTAAACTGAGGAATAGGCTCCATTAAAAGTAATATTGTCAACAATGTGCATTTTTTCCACTAATGCAGTGCAGATGAAACCGAGTATGAAATTAAATTTCTCGTGTGATATTTAGTTCCTGCTACAAATTGTAAATTTCTTGCAAAACATCGTTTTTTCTTTAAAACAATAAAAAATCAATTGATGCTGCTGCTATACGCCGATGTATAGCAGCAGTAAAAAATCCATCGCCGAAAAGTCTATTCGGGTAATAGAAAACACTTCAGGATCGTGTAAAAAACATCAAAATTTTCGTCCGCCTTAAAAATAAAGGCAAATAAATAAAAGGGGGTGTCAGCCCTTCGTCATGATACTCACATTTTCGTGTTGTCTAGCGATAACAATATGGTGTCTAAGTTATGGACGGTTTTGATAAAATTTTTTCTTCGGTGATTGCGTGCCATTTCATTGTTGAACGCCTGAAAATAGATTCAATTTCCAAATATAATTAAGATAAGAGATTGAAGAAAATCAAGGATTTACCTACACCAAGCCACAAGGGCAAATAGGTGCAACAATCAGAGCGTTGACATCAGACATACTTGTGTACACATTATGAGAAGTATAAAACCGTTTTTTAGTATTTTATGCATGAGTGTATAAAAGTCAGTTTCAATTAAGTTTTACATGTTCCTACATTTTTTAATAGCGTTTACTCTTCTAGCCTGTCTAGTTTGCGCTTCATTATCGGCAGTATCGAGAGTGATCAAGCATTTCTTTTCGAATGATCAACGAATCATAAATAAACAATGCCATTTAAATTAAGCATTAAGCATTAAGCAACTATGTTTTTGACCAACATGAGTTTGAAGCGTATAATTTGAAAACTTGCTTCGAAAAAGTTTGATATTTTTAAAAAGAATCTAGACTATTCTTTTCATAATCACAACTTTTGGGCTTATATTCTTATATTTAAGACAAACAGACCCACAACCACACCAAACAGAGTATACCGTACAGACACAAACTGGAGATTATTTTGAATTTGAGCGACAAAATGTACTCAAAAACATATCACAGGTATAAAACCTTATTACAGTACCGGTAAAGTAGTTAAAGCTTCAGTGGCTTCGTGACCGTCCGAAGGGTCTCCAAGATGACAAGATTAAAAACCTCCCGATCGGCTGGGAATAATGCAATTCTAATGCGGAAAATTATGTAGAAAAATGTATTATGTAAGTGTTGTCAAATAAAGCAACAGTATAAAAAATAAATTACTCTGTTTTGTATTTGAAACACCATCGTAGTAGCCGCTCTGATTTTTAGGATTTTTTTTTATTTATAAAAGACAACCATGCAGATTTCAAAACTGTACATACAAATTCTCATAACAACCGGAAATGATTCTAAACACTACCGGTTAAAAACTCTTGCTTAAAACTGTGCGAACGTCTATCGATAGATAAGCACTCAAATGCATTAACAATTGCATAACATTTATGCAATAACAATTGTAAAAGGATAAAAATTCAAATATCGGAACAACAGGAGCATATTTTTTAATTAGGGTCAAGTAATTAGAATTAGAAGGAAAGTTAACTAATTTTGCAAATCAGTTACTATACATTACTTGATCTTCCTTTTCATACGTCTGACAATATATTTTGATTTAAGAACATCTTCGCATTATGTATTGTGTGGAATATGAAACCGGTCTTAGGCAATATAGCTTACACGCATAGTATACCTAAAGAATTTTGCTACTTACACTAACAATATTCTCCTGAATATTCGGATTGAACTGCTCGAGGAACGACACATACTCACTGGTTAATTCTGAAACAACCATTTTCAAGTTCAAAACACTTTTAACACATTTTAATAAATAATACTAGGTAATGCAGGGACACGTCATGAAATATTATCTATGGCAAATTTCAAAACAATTCTCGAACTTTTATCGCCAAGTAATGGATTTCCACCTTAACCTACAACGCCACGAATTAGAACAGTAAATTTATAAATTCTCGCTTTCGTTTCCGATAAGTAAAAGTGTGCCACATGGAACGATGAACGATAATACTTAGATAAATACTTTAATTTCAGATAGCGGGTTAATTTTTGAATGATATTGACTTAGATTTTGTTAATGGAATTCAAAAAATATTTTAAACATTTAACTTAAGATACATTTGAAGACATTCTTCCGTGAATTCTCGTAAATGTCGATTTGTATCTGTTTGCTTGCTGTTTCTTTTGTCTGCCCTTTGAGTATAAAATTGTAACTGGCAAAGAACTTTTTCGACTGCTGCCTGTCTAGAGCAGAGATTTAATTGGGCAATACATTATCTAAAACAATTTTTGTTCATCCTCAAACTACCCCCGAAACTTTAATATGAATTATTGAGACGCGCTAGTCTAAAATTCCCAATTTTCATCCATAATTTCAAGACAGTCGGTATGAGTTATGATTAAGGGAAAACTTTTACGATAATTATACTCACAGTTTCTTGATAAAGTATGTAAAAGGCGCAAGCCGTTACAGTTTGGATGCGAGAAATTCTTACAAGTGATAGTATAGCTTGCAGCAATTTAAATTAGATTAATATCTGTAGGCTTCGGTGAAATTAAATTAATTTGCCGGTAGTTTAAGGCTCATTTCCTGTTCACTTTGGCAGAATATTTGAGGTGGCAAAACTGGAATAATAGTTATGGAAAATACAGGTCAACAATAGATTAAATATTGATTTTCTAAGGATGTTTAGTTGTTATTAGTCAAATAATTAACGGTAGAATTAAGCACAAGAAAATAACAATAAGAACAAAGTAGGTAAATAAAAATTGAAAAAGAACTTGTAAAAGTGGTAAGGAGAAGTTGAAATAACTGTATCACGATCAAAGTAAAACATTTTAAGTTTTAAACCGTTTCAAATGAGTTACTCTAGAACAGAGAATTCTGGAAAATGTTTTGTCAATTTCTTGATGTGGACCACAAAAAATAGCCAATTTCTTCTTCAATTAGTATACTTCAGTAGTAACGCAAACTATACATTTCCTTGAATTAAACAGAGCCTAATTATTTTAATCGTTGAAATTCTATGCAGGGTGATTCAAAACTTATGGCATTCCTTTTAAGATATTACTTGGACTTTCTTGAAGAGTCAAGGAAAATATACGCTTTATCTATCTGACGATATTTATTCAGGATGTTAACTCTTGAAGATGCAATTTCAAGATTATATTGCATTATATGCATTTGCTGTAACCGGCATTTTTTGAGACAGATTTAAAATGTTGTTTTCAACGGTCCTTTTCAAAATTGCAATTGTATAACAATGGATCATCGGTCATTGTTTAGAAGATGCTTTAAAATAAATTTGAGCAACAAATCACTACTTGTGATTCTTTCACGGCGATTAAGATATCGAAATAAAAATCTGTGACTAACCTAAAAAAAATTGATCTGAACGTGCTTTTAAAGAGCGACATATATTTTCACTGCTATCGCTATAGTGAATTGAGTTCTTCGTGGCCCGACGAAAGAACGAAACCAAATAAAATTATTTCATTTGTTAATGAGTTGCAGCTTGCACTGGTGAGTTCCCATGAGTCAGGATCATTTTCATCATTTTTATTATCTACTTCAGTATGCATCATTTAATCGCTATATTCTGATTGTGTTTCAATAACCTGTTTGTGTAATTTTTTTTGTTTCTGTTTTATTCATTTTGGAACTGAAATTGTTTATTAGCTTTTGTGCTAAACGACGGAAAACTATTTTGTTGTGAAGTTTATTTTCTGCATTAGATGTTAATTTTGCAAAATTTATGTAAAGCAAAATTATCTTACAAAACAAATAGGTCGAATTTGAAACGGCACATGGAATGCAAACACCCCACAAAATCAGTAAATTCAGAGAAATTTCGCGAAGAAACTGAGGGAAGTTTTATTAGGGGAAAATGTAATAAAATTGAAAGAAAAAAATCACTTATCGCCCATTATTTACTTCTTTTATTTTTTAAATTTATTTAGTTATTACGGTTACAGTAAGCGTAATTTAAAATTGCTGGTCTATTTTCTTTCGGTATCAAATATTGTTAATGTTAAAGTGTTTTTTCAGATCGGAAAATAAAATCAAATAAGCTATATTTGCTCACATACAATTGAGAGCTACAAACACTAAATGAAATCACATTTACAGTAATAAGCGGATTAAGTAATAAGCATTTATCAAGAACTTCTACGAAAGAACTTTCCATCAGCCATATTGAAGATGCCCCAACTCCAAAAAATGTCCTTTAACATAAAACTATGCCATCAGATCTAACTATTAATAATTGAAAACTGGATCATTGGAAACGGAATAAAATTAAAATCAGTGCTGGGACGGTATGTGAAAAATGATCAATAAAGCTGAACAATTGAAATACTGGCATCTCAAATTTGCAAAATTGAGTTATTCTGAGTAACTCAAGTGGCGATTGCACCAGTTCCATCAGTAAAACTGTCATATTTTTCTGTTCTTTTTAGTTTCACCTCCGGAGAATTACACATATAAAAACCCATTATCGTCACATTAATGGGAATCTGCGTATCAAAAACACTGTTACGAAATTTATAATTTCGTTTTTTTATAAATACGTATCTTAGTTCTTAGTGAAAATTGCGTTTTTTTCTTTTTCAAAACTGAGTTTCATTTAAACTAACTGTTGGCTACAGAGTTGTCCAACAGGTGCGTTTCTTTGTTTCTCCATACCTTACCCAAGATTTTACGAAGGCAGTGTCTACCACTTAGCATAAAATATGAAAGAAGAAAATTGAAAATAGTTTTCCATGCTGTATGTCTTACTTAAATCCTGCTATAAAGCACTAGTTACTGGGCTAGAAAATATTATCGGAACCAGCAAATTTCAATATTTATGATATCCAGATTTATTCGACTGAATATTATTTCTCTTTGTAAAATAACAGCTCAAAGTGGCACAGTATGATTTTAAATCGACTCATACATATATTCGTTCCCCTCAATTTTGGATAATTCCCCACATTGGCTGAAATGGATTCATTTCACGCGCATTCATACACATTTGATACGCATTGTGATAAATCTATATTATTCAAGTGGAAAAGTGTCAAAGTGTAATAAATTTTCTATTTTATTACTCAAATGTTCAGAATAAATAAAACATATGCCATGCTGGAATAACTACAGTTCTGGTGTAGCTGCAAAATAAATACTTCTGTTGGTTTAAAAAGGCAATTAATCATCAGAAATAAATTTACAAAAGTAAAAGTTAATTACTTCTGGATTCAGTTCAGATAAAACTCAATAAAGCCGCAAATGATTCATAAATGCATTATTCAAAAAGCATCCAAACAAGTGCCAAAACAAAAACCCACCAGATATTAAAGCCTCTCAATAAACTTTAAAGTTAAATCGAGCGAGCTGCAGTTATTTAAATATTCAATGAGAACGTACCTTCAGATTCAACCCTTCTCCAAAACGTGGAATACATCAACAAAAAAAACAGAACCCTAATCCAGATCAGCATGACGAACTTGATTGGAATATTGCAAGACGTATGTATAAAATGGGATAGTTCCAGGTCAGAGGGTATCAAACTAGTGATAAATATTGCGAGCATCGTTTATTATTATCAAGAATAATGTTTCTAAAAAATATAGTAGTTTTAATTCCTACTTCCTAAAATATTTTGAGGTGTTTTAGTTGCTCAAAACAGTAGGGTTTTAAATTAAATATTCATTTCAGGGGATGTTGAGGGAAAGCAGCCCAAAATCGAGCAAAATGGACGCTCAAAATTCTCGACACGACGCCGTGAGATAAAGCTGATGATGATGGCCGAATTTTAAGAAACGCTGGCGAACTGGAGGGATGACGCTCATCCTTTCGGTGGTCTTGACGATTATCTGCACTATCGGAATTGCTTTTAACGGATATACCGTTCTAGTTATACTATTAACCAGGCAGGTAAGACATTTTAAATTATTCAGCTAAAATGTTGTTTGGATATCATCTCGATGCATTACTTATTGAAATTTAAATGCAGGTTTACGTAGCATTGGTTGTTCTAAAATAGTTTCTCTTTGTATAATTTAGAACAACACGACAATGCTTGGCGGTAAATGACTTCACAATCAGTAAAAAATAACAAATAGAGGCGCTTTCTTATGCAGCACAAACCAACAACAGCTTTCGAGAAATTGTATGCGTGAAAAATATGTGCACTTTGCCGTGGAATTCGTTTTATTAAAAGCGCACCCAACGGAAACATTATTTATTTTTGAGGTTTTCCTCCAGGGATATTTTCATCAGCAGAAATTACGGCTATTAGGATTATTCTCAACTTCAAGGCTACACACGAGGGAATAGTCTGTTGTATTTCCTCGAAAAAAAACTACAAAGTCGTTAGGTAAAATTTGGCAACTTTAAAAATACTCAAATATTTCGCATTAGTTTCCAAACCAGCCAACTTCATCTATCTTAAGTTAAAATGTTTTCAGTGTACCGAGAGTAAGTGGAGCATCGGTAATATAATTTAATTAAATAAACTAATTGATTGCCAAAGCTTAACCGAATGAAAAACTTTTTTGTAACGTTGAAATTGACTAATGGAATTTTTGGATTAACCGACAGTTCCTTTTTTGTACTTTTTTATAAATTCTAGGTCTGACCAAGCACAATGAGCAGTAAATGGAGCTCAAGCTGGCCAACTAAAAATACTGCAAGAAATAATTATCACAATTTTTAACAACAGTTAATAAAAGAAATAATGAAGGGTCTTTTGCGGCAAGCCCTAGTTAGAACAAATTTTCCGTCTCAGCACTTGAATGAGCCTGGAAGACACACGAAGAAGAATGACGGCATAATGAAAGACTGAACTTAGACTAGCCTTAGACTCAGACAAATATACTTCATATTTGTTAATAGGAACTAAAGACATCCGTAACTATTATTCCCACATCACATGTAATGAATATTGTAAATAAAGAACTTCTTTATTAAAACTTCAAATGTAACCAATCAAGCTTTATCACTGGCTATAATGCGAATATTAAGAACACGWACGTACACATTCGAGCCTTTCGATTGCTCAAACTCTTTTGAAATAATAAAGCAGACAAAAGTTTGAAAACGTTCAGTGTTTTTATTCCCTGCTAAATAATKATGGCTGCTTAGTAAGTAAATATTTATCGTTACTTAATGGAGAACGCAACTCGAATTATCCCACACAACTTACGCAAAGTAAGCAAATGGACACATCAATCAACCTACAACAGTTGCTAGTATTGAAAGAAAAATTAAGGTACTAAGCATGTTAAATACGAAAAAACATGGCTATAAACTCCCTTACATTAACGATTACGTAAAACAATGTATTATCTAGTATATCTCGATCTATTATGCGACGATCCATTGTAGCAAATAAATGGATATTATTTTGCCAACAATAGAAAAGCATGAGCCTGAGAATATTGATTGAGCTTAAACGGAAATCCACTGAATTAATTATACAATTCTTGAAAATTAGTCAGAATCTACGTTTGTTTTTTGGATGTACCAGGATGTGCTCTAAAAATTTGCCCACAAATGGTTCAAAATCCTAATATCGGTAAACATATAACATCGTCAATCATTGAGGCACAACTTCAACACTACAAAGAAATTAGATTGATTTGAAATGAGAGATTTAGTTCTTGAAAATAAAACAACTTCATGAATTTACAGTGCATCTGGTCCACAAATGTGTTACTATTTAATTTYCATTGTTAAAATTTAACAAWAACATCATTTTTCTTTTCATGAAATAAATAATCTTCCAATGTTTTTGGTTCATTTGGAAATAYAGATAGATATACAAACGCTTCGGAAAAATCTTGAACAGAAAGTTGACTGCAGAGTGAAAATAATACGATATAAAAAATATAGCTTCCAATAATTGCAGTCCATGGCTCTATTTAAAAAGGAACTTTGGAAATACTGCGGACAAAGCAGCTTCTCAAAAATGTCTGTATATGGAAATAATAAAAGATTGAAATATAAAATATTGTTCAAAACGACATACAATTTGTGGAAAGCTTGGCATTACTTAATATTACACAAAATTAACCCAAATTAGGTGGAGTGATTTAAAATTGCCTGACATTATCTGAAATTAAGAAGATTTGTTTAAGATTTCTACTTATTTGCGTAATAATTTGGAAAATTTCGATTGCTTTTTTATTTTTAATAAAAAATGCTCAACAAAATAAACATTACACAGCCAAATTTACCCTAACTTTGAAACTGGATAAATTGTGAGTGCTGCGACCAATTCTTTTGTTCTTCTTGTTTGTTCTATTTGAGGTGTTGTCTCGTCCAATTCTGTTTCTATCAGTTCGTTTTTTTCCAAAAAAATTTGTTCCTCAGGCGAAGTGTCTCCAGGGTGGCAAAGGAAACAATACAAAATTTCTTAAAGTTTGGCATTCTCCCAATTGAGAAAAAAAAATTTTTTTGGATTTCATTTGGTTCAAAAATAGAATCAATAATGTTAAACAATGACAAAACGACGAACCACAATTACACAATTTAAGAAACAAAGAAAATTGACAGCTTAACTATAAAATAAATAATTAAAAAACAAAAATATATGAATATACATGGAAAGAGCTACCTCAAATTATATGCGAACAAGTCTATAAATATTCATTGTAGTGAATGCATTCCAGGGGCGAGGCACTAATTTTTTTTCGCATTTTATTTCATTTTGCAGGCCAGAACGAAAATGTACATATCAATATATTTCTGTTTCCTCATTTTTTAGTTTTTCCTTCCTCCGCTTGTCCCTTCCTTACTTTCATTTTTTCTAAAATACGCACCGTCGATTGTTGTTCTTCATATTCGATGAATATACATCAGTAATTAGTAATAACAGCCAGTAATTATTTAAGAGCACCATGTGTATTCAATACATGTGGAGAATAACGATCAACCGTGCGTATTTTAATGAAAAAGAAATGAGGAAAGGGAAAAAAGAAGGAACGAAAAAATAAAAATTAGTAAAAAGAAACATATGTATTGATATCTACATTCTTCATACAACATTAGTCCAGTTCGGTCCGTACTGCAGAATAAAATAATAAATGAATATAAATTTAAAAAACAATTATCTCATTGCCCTGGGGATGCATTCAGTAGAATTAATATTCAAATTATTATAAGAATTCAGTCTTTTCCGCGTTTATTTAAGTATTTCTGAGTTGTATTTATTTATTTATAGTTAAGCTAACTGGTAGCTTTTTTCTTCCATAAATTGTGTAACTGTGGTTCGTTGCCTTGTCACTGTTTGATGTGATTGGTTATATTTTTCAACCAGATATTTGTTAATTGCCGATATGGCCTTTGCTTACTGTACTGTTGTTTTGCCCTTTTAGCCCTGAAGAAGACTTCAATAAAGTTGAAAACGTCGGGATATAATTAAAAAGTGACGTAGTTATTAATGTCTCACACTTGGCATCCTTTGGACCTTAACTTTGCCACTGGGACGGATATTAAAGTTCAAAATTCGTTCCGAAAATGACTTGGATAATACATTTCTTCCCCTATCCGAATAAATTGTAAAATTCGATTTCGCCTTCCATTTTCTTTATATACATATACTCCCTTAATGTATCAATTCCAAAAACGGTTTATCCTTTAAAGAACTTTTCATGCTCTTGAAGAAAATAACTACCACAATATAGAAGGATTTCAATATTTGTGTAACGTTTTTTGGAAGCGCTATTTATTTGTAAGGGCTTGTGGCGCTCCCAACTAATCCAGCGCTCACTTTTTGTTCGGGGCTATCGATTTGTCTCTTTGCGGCAACTGAACTATTATTTGCTCGTTTTTATATTTACCCCGATCGATTTTTTTTGTAATACACGTGTTTGGATTAAGCCGGCTTTTAGTTTCCAATAATGCCCCGATATAAATTTAGACCCGAAGCCTAATAATAGTCAGTTTCGAGTAACACGAGCGAAAAAAGTGATCGTAAGTGACTGAAATACCGTCAAATGACCACAAATAAACCCATATCAAGCATTAACATTAAACATTAACCTATTTTCCAGCAGGCATAGAAACAAACATGCAATAATGTTGTCCTTGTATATAAAGCTCAAAGTTCAACAGTCTCATAGGCATAAGTTATAGCGACACTAACAAAATTTTCCCAACCCCAATTTCCAAAGTTAGGCACCAGTTCTATTTGGCGGAAGTTATGCCAAACTTTACTCGCTGATTGCGTTATAAAGTCGCAAGTTGCATAGATGGCTTCCGATCGAAATCGAATATTCCACTAAAAACTGTGTAAACTATTTAATTTGTTTAGACAGCGGAAGGCTTTTGCACAGCACATGAATGCGAAAGCAACAGTGTGCAACCTATTGAATATATTGCATGAAATTTAACATTGGATGAAAATTGAAAATTAAAATGAACAAGAAAGAAAATTTTTGTGTTTGCTGACACGAATTGCGTTTCCAACAGAATAATGGAATTTTATTATTTTTTAACAGATAGCGATAGAACCGCGAGATAATTAAAGCCTTTGTCGCGGATAACTAGCCTGGTACTATATGGTGAGTCCGATTCGCGTCTATCTATTCACCTATTTCTTCATCTATCTTTTTATGTATTTGGTCATCGGATCATCCATCTTCTCATGTATTTTTACATGAGCAATGCTTTTAGCAATTGAAGGGTACATGCTAAGAAGGGGGTCAATTTTTGCTCATTTTGAGCTGTTCAGTCCGTTCGATTTTAAACACACAGAACTATCATCAAGTAACATCACACAGGCGAAAAAAGAAGAGTTACCTGATATCTATAATTTAAATTATGTTCTACTGGCTAAAAAGGAGGAGAGTCCGCCCGCCACAGTCTAAGAAAGATCTTCTATCTATTCCAAATAAAGTAAATAATAAGTAAATTCACTGACCTACAGTGCGTGAGGAAAATATGTCTCAACACAACAGCTAGAAAATATTTTTCTACATTACCACATACCAAAAATGTCTGAGCATATTCTGTATATTTAATAATTAATAGAAAATCTGAAATTTAATAAAATTTAATTTCATAACCTTTACTGTTTTGCTTCTGGTTTTCGGTAAAAAAATTGAAATACTGCAAAATTTCAGTAGAAATCTATGACATTCCCCCTTCTTATTCATTACTATCCGTAGTGCCTTGATTTTTTACGTTTAAAAAAATTGTAAATTAAATGTAATTAATAATGTCTGCAGTCTAATCCCAAACACCTATAACAAATTAAATCCATTAAGAGATTCAATGTTAATTAATAAATGAATAAGTTAAGTATACGGTTTTGAAATTAAAAATCGATTTCCTGAAAATTAACGATTTTTTACTTTGCCCCTTTTTAGCCTGGACCCTTCGTATATCTATTCAGCATTTAAACAATATTCTCTCTGGTTTTGCGTTTCAGTATACTGAAATATGTTCCCCAAACTCGAAGGAATTCACATTAAGCGACGCTCTCAAAACTAGGATAATTAGAAGATTCAGACTTCGGAGTTTATGTTTACTGGAAGCAATTATTGAAATGCAAAAAAAGAGTTGAACTATTTGCTATTCGTGAAAAACCACAATTTGGCTTTCTTCACGTTATATCAAGGAAAAAAGAAGGATTATGATAGCATTTTCCGCAGTAGGAAAAAGGAATATCAGAGCACACACATTAAAAACTCAGACAACAATTCTAAAACATGTTGGATTGGATGTTAAGGAGTAGAATCCTAAGGTAAAGAACAGGAGGCCAGACATTTCACAAGAAAGAAGTCAATAATTTTCGGATGGGTTTGGTTCTTGCATTAATAATTTAATATGAAATCTAATAGTAAATAGTGGTAATATGGATTTTTATCGAAATTTCAGTTCACCATAGACTGATGTAAATGTTCAGAAATCCTTGCTTACCTCCTTTTCTAAAATATGCGAGAAAATAATGTAAGTTTGAGTAAAAAAAAATCTTCAGTTTAACACGACGACATTCTACATCTTCTGAATGCTTTGAAGAAACGGGAACTACCGATGGTCATTTCATTCGATCTAAAGCTTATGACATCTTGAGTCACAGAACATGTTGATTGTCGCTCAACAAGTTGGTAAATTGATGAAATTTCGTTACTCTGACTTAAAGAGAGATTAATTTCTCGAATATTTTAGAAAAGGAGGTAAGCAAGCTAATTGGTCGAAAACTATCCACATTTGGAAAGTGGCCTTTTTTATGTATTGGAACCACTAAAGCGGTTTTTAACTTGTCCGGAAATATTGCGAAATTTGAGCAAGTAACGCAAAACAAGCATAATAATATTTCAGACAAGTAGATCAAACCACCACCAAATTGCAAATTATGGAGATATTATTGACCGTAGCCTAAAGGACACTTTTGGCTTTCCGGGGGTAAAGTTTCACAACATTTTAGGTTGGCATGAACAAATAAACAGTGTTGTAACTAAACTCAACAAAGTGCGTTACAGCTTCAGAGTTTTAAGTAAATATGTAAGCTTAGAAATTTAGAAAATGCTTTATCATGTGAACTTTGACTGCCCCTTAACGTACCTATACGTGGTCAAAGCTCAATCTTTCCTAGTTGCAAGGAATGAGAGTTGCAAAGGCAATTTCAAATACCTTAATTGATGAACAGCTCTGGCAGTCTAGATTCACGAGTGTTTGCTATAATTCTTTAAACATAAAGAGTTATTTACTGACTGCTCGTCTGAGTACGTGCACTATAAGAGCAGAGAAGTTATCGCTGCGAAACCAAGAAATTGATTTTGTGAGATCGCCCTGTAAAAATTCCTATACCGTGTCGAGCTACTTGGTTTATCTTTAAACTTTTGATGTTGAGACCTTTTTGGTGAAAGTGATCCTTACATTGAAACCCGTTTCGTCTTACTAAGAGCTTCTGGAACTTTCACCATTTTTGCAGTGTTTCATTGCCAAACTGTATAAAATCTATCTGTTGCACTAATTTTTTGACAAAACCACGCACTAACTGAAAACGAATTGGACTAAATAACTTTTTCAAAGTTACGACCTATTTGGCTGTGCAACGTTCATTTTGATGAGCAGTTTATTCAAAGATTGAAGTAAGAAGTCGCGCTTAATGTAAAAACTTGTGAAAATTTTGGAACTCTGTTCGTGGCCGTCTCGAAAAAGTAAGCAAGATTGCAGGCTTAGGAACGGCCCAGGCACAAAACAATCAAGTGCATAATCAATATTACAGAACCTAGAAACTGCTTATATCATGATATTTCCTGATTTCCGTAAAAAATCAGAAAACGTGATATGTTTACGGCAATAAAACGTTTATGTTTACACAAGAAAAAATCTAAACAACTAATCTAGCAATAAATTTACCAAGCTAAATAAATAGAAATACTAAATGTTTTGACCACCTTCAATCAAATTTCCACCAGGATTTTTGAAATATCCATTATAGGTAAGCTGTGATTTGTGCCGCCGGACATTTATGTACATTTTGATCAAAAAATAGTTTTCTCATACGGAATTTTAACTTCTTTTTGTTGTTACCGTCTGCTATAACTCAGACTTTCGGTCACCAGCCTTATTCAAAAAATCGTCGTTTTAACTTAAAATGTATATTTTTCGGAAAACAAACTGAGCAATTCCCTAGCATATACACTAAATCACGATATATAAATTACATTCGACGGAAAAAAATCAGTTTTTAGGGACGTTCATTCAGCGAAACACTTCAATTCGAAACAGGAAATTAAGTTGCTGACTTTAAATCTCCTATAACGGCATAGCTTGATTAAATCTACTTTAAAGTGTTCTAGCCTAGGAAATAATTCAAATGCTGCTATATTTGTTTCAGGTAAATACTGCGAACAACATTCTACTGCTGCACCTTGGAATTATAAACATTTTCATTGGAATTCTCTTCTTGATCTTTTGCCTGCCCGGTATAAAAGGTAATAGAAATTTGGTTCTAAAGTTTAAAGCTTTTTTGTCACTTTATTCTCATTTGCTACTATATCATATGGGAAACATTAAGATTATGATTTTGTTTCTAAATAAGAACAACAATGTCATACATATTGAAAATTTTTTAAGCGTTTGAACACAGTTTTGGGACTTCACTGAACAAATGATTGCCGAAAAATTTGCTGGATATAATTAAAGTTTTCCTCAATTTTGTTTTTGCCTAAGTCAGCAACGATTTGATCCAACCATCACTTTTCTTTGGTATTTTTTTAAATTTAGGTACAGAATGGGCAAGTGCTGGTGCACCGTGTGCTGTAAACGGCTTCTTCTTCACTTTGCTTCATCCATTGGCACTTTGGACTATTTGTGGCCTCAATTGCGATCGTTATTATGCCATCGCAGCACCACTACATTATACTCATATTGTCAGCACTAGAAAGGTAACTATTAGAGTAATTAGGGCTCGACTTGATAGATTAGTTGGCAGCAACACGTTCATTCATAAAAAAATCGTGCTTTGAATTCAAACCTTAATTAAAATTCATTAAATGTTCGTGCCCTTAACAACGTGTTATTAGATTGACATAGATTTTTCTCTGACCTTTATCCAAGGCATTTTAAATCATAAAAAAATAATCAAAATTCTATCCTTTGAAATATTAAAGGTGAATCTAACTTTATAAATATTCTTACATGTTGCTGATGGTAACGTGTTATGCATGTTCTCAATAAAAAATATTGCGTGGTGTTAAAATTACTATCGTTTTTTTTTAAGCTGGACCGTTTCTGCACTATTGCATTTAATGTAGTAAAAGTGAAGTGTTTTACTTGAAGCATATAATTTGCGTCAGAAATACTACAGCTTCAAACACAATTATATTAGCTAGATTGCGAAGTGTAATTTGCATTGCCGCCTCTCTTAAAATGAGAAACAGAAACTGTTAAAAAACAATTACGGCATAAAACGGAAAAGCCGAGAGGTTAATGGAGACAATCTCTATTATAATGGCTGAGCTTGAGCACTTGGAAAATTAAAAATTCCAACTCTGAATTAAATGGAATCGAATTCGATTTTATTCTAGTTTTACTTGATTTTCGCTGAAATTATTCAGCATACTTATAAATTACAATACAGTTATACTTGTTAAAAGTAAGAGAAATTTTTCAACTCAGTTTAATGGTGAGCTGACTTTTCCAGTCGAATATTTTGTAAAAAGTTTAAACGGAATACGGTTAAACTCGGATAAGCGAAAATATATTCGAGCCTATTAAGAATGTTTTTCAATTCACGGCTACGAAGCGAAAGCTCGAAAGCATTTTCAATCGCCATAAAAAAGATTAGAGCGATAGCAACTTTTCATCGAGTTTGATTTAGGACCTACAAAGCTTACTCAATTATACCTTCCAACGTACAGAAATGAAATGTATTTTCTTCAATATGCAAACCAGTTTTGGTCTAGAATCCCACCAACTTGCTCAAACTTAACGGAAGCAACAACATTTTTAAATAGCTACACCCAAGTCCAACTTCGGCTTAATTAATTTACCAAGCTCTGATGGATGCCCTTCATTTCAACTTCAACTGCCCTTCTAATTAAGCTCAAGTGCTGCTATTATGTCAACCCAGAAATCGGACTCCTAAAAGGAATCTTCTTGGTTCACTTGGAAGCGAGTAGTCTATTCATCCAAGTTAGCACGTGGCTCAAAGGGAAGTTCAATGTTAAGGCAAAAAATACTTTGTCTCGACTTTCCCGCAAACTTTCAAGTGGTTTTCGCATTTAAATTATATCAAGAGCTCTCTAGGACAGGTTTTTCTCAGCTGAATGAAAAGTGTTGCCCAGACCATTTTAGAATCAATAGAAGTCACTTGATAATTATTTAGGCGCAAGTCAAGAATAACTAAAGTTTTCTAAATAGAGATTTCTTGTTAGAGTTTCAGCTCATGCTTTCTTTTGTTTTCATTATATTTTTTAAATCCCATTAGCATAGTATATAGGCATTCTTTTTACATTTTTTATTTTAATAATTTTCAATTTACTAATATTGCGGGAATATTGAGGACAAGAATTAACGACTATTCAGCGAGAAATTTTTAACGAAAATATGGGATTTTAGAAGTGTGACCAACAAGCTGTCTCAAGACCGGTTTTGAGCTTATTAGTTCCGGTCAGCAGAGTTCAGCTGGCAAATAACACTCCCAAAATCCTGTACTTAAAGTGGGTTTAGATGCAACCACTTTTGACTTACTTGTGGTGTTGACATAACTAAGAATATGTTTTTTGATAAATTATTATAATCAGAATTACAAGAAACTCTAATTCTCGTATCTATCAACCATTTTCAGTTATAGTTAATTTTCAAAGTATATCTTTGTAGAAGAAGCAACAAAACCAAACAAATTTCCTAAAGCTTTCCTTCAAAACTTTCCGTCCTTCATACAAAGTCATAAAAGCTATTCGCAATATTAAACTAATATAAAATTGTGGCGAAACTCTATTTGGGCGTTTTCCACTTTCGTAACTTTCGAACATTAGACGCAACAGACCTTCACTATAAGTGGACCGAAACTTCGCCTCAAACTGATACTTCAGACGACAGACAGTCTTTGTATTTAATCAGCAATGGCCATTTGAGCGAATCGTTTCAATTAAATGCGAGTTTATAGCAGAGTCTGAGAAGTGATTTGAAAATCAGTTAGTCAAAAGTTGTAAATGTTTAGAATTAAAGTTTAAGCCAGTTGAGGTACGGAAGTTTAGGACCGGTGCCGGCTTTCTGGGTAATTTTAACTGCTGGATTATTTCGATAGCTTTAGTTGCAGCAACTATAGTTTCCTAAGGCTTTATCTGCTGGACCATTTACTGAATGACCAAGAGTAAGGACCACTAAATGTGAACTACACAGGGGCATATTTTCCAACTCACGCAAATTCTTATTATAAAAATACAAAAAAGCACCGCTCCAAAATAATTATTGAATGAACAAAATCGGAAACTTTTAAATGCAAACTCCCATTTTCCATTTTTACGAGTATAAGCGAAAAATGAGAACAGTGCTTGAGCTTCCATCTTTATCACAAAATTAATGTTAGCTTTAGAAGTAGGTATCAATTAGGATACAGTGTCTTTGATTAATGCATTTTACAATATCCTGCACTTTCCTCAAAAATTTAAAGTTTGTATTTGTAAGCTATTTACGCGAGCTGTTTTCTGCGATACCGAAAACTGGTTTTTGTCGCATAAAATTTGACAATATTCTTATGTCTAGACATACAAGCAAAGTCCTTTTATTTCTTTTAATTTCTTTTACAACAAGCAGTTTTGAGCTTTAAAAAATTGCTATTAAATAATTATTGTATTATTATTGCTATCTGTAAAACGTTTTTGGGAAAAATGTGTTGATAAGTTAGCTTCGCTAAACGCGTGCGTGCGTATAATTCTGTTATTAGTTTTTCTGTGCATACTCTTGCATTTTATGTTTTCCAAATTAAGAATCGACCTTTCCCAATTAAACATCAGTCACAAATTAAAATTGATTTTCGAAATTTTTATTTTCAAATCCATGTTCTTAAAAAATGGTTTCGTAAAATCGATGTAAATTTTACAGACTATTGATTACTCCGCAAGTAGGTACCTACAGCGTTCTGAATTTCTTCTACTTGCCATACTATCTACTAATTTAGACTGTGTTTTCAAAACTTATGTTTCAACCCAGACATTCTTACTTCGCATAGATTAGAGTGAACTGTTCAATTGAAGTTGAAAATATGAGAAGAAATCAGAAGCCAGCTGTAAAACTGTTTTTGTTTTATGTACATTTTTAACTGCAGCGGATATTTTCGAGCACAGAAATTTCGATCATTACATATTAACGGCTTTTTCACAAATGGTGGAAAATGTTTCTAACGTATGGTTTTATTGAGTTTAACGATTACGTAAAACCGATTGATTCCAGGGATTCAGGAATAAATCAAAATCAATTAGACTTCATACTTGGTACTTCTTGCAACCAATATTTTTTTTGCAGGTTCTCGTAGGATTATTTCTCGGTTGGATTAATTCCATACTTCTAGCCATTCCCCCCTTGTTCAACGCTGCGCCATATCGGTACCTGTCCGGATTGGGAGCCTGCGCTCCAGAGTTTCGCACTGGAATCGCTTCAGTGTGGTACGCTGCAGCATATACTGGGTTCACTTTATTATTGCCAGCCACTGTATTTATTTGCTGTAATGTTAAGGTAAGCAATAATCGCAGAATAATGTTGGATATATTTTTAATTTTGCACTTTACCTTTGCATATTTTATGCAAATCCAAACGCATTATTAGTACCTAACAATAACTTAGACGTTTGTAAATTTGTGGAAAATACTCGGAAATAGGCAGGAAAAACTTTCAGATTGAAGTCAAGTGAAAGTGAAAGACATTCACATTATTCATATATCTTCAGACAAGTGGAAAATAAACTCAAGGAAATCGTATTCAACATACAGTATAAAAGTTGGACACTAGAAAAATACATTCCGGCGGTTTCGTATAAAATCATTAAATTATATTGAAGTAAAAAATCCACTGGTAGCAATATTAACTGTGACGATTCCAGATCATTAGCGTGTGGACTTTAATAAATATATTCTGAAAAAGATACTCGAAAACGGACAGCAAACTATAACTTAAAACCAACAAACAAAACGTCAGAATACAGCAAACTTTCATGCTTTATTCTTGTGTCCTTTTGTTGTTTTGTTGAGTTTGTACTCAGTTTGCCCACCTTTGCGGTCTTTTCATAATGTATATGAAACATTAAGCACGTAAGACCGCATAAGAATGTGTTTGTTTTTCCTGTTAATTCCGCATATCTTCTAAACAGGAGAATATATTACAATATGCCTGGAGGAAAAAAACGTTTCTAGTTATAGAAAAAAAATTAATTGGCATACATGCTCATAAACGGCGCAAAAATATTAGCGCAATTAAAACATTAGATGTTTGGCATTGCAAAATAAAATTATTATTTCAATTTAAAAAAATTTCCAAATCAGAAAAATTTAGGTTTAGATTTTAGGCGGACTATATAAGTAATATTACTCAAAGCCATAAGGAAAATTAGCAATTAATAATGTCAAAAGCTTAAACAATTTGGCTGACCAAAATACGTATTACAGCGTTTCGACATTCACTGAACAAAAAGTTACAGGCCAAACTAACGAGTTTTTAGTTTATATTTAGTACATAATTAAGTCGCTTCTCAAAGTGATTATTCTTGTCCTTTTAATGCGACGAAAAATATTTCAATCATACAACTTTGACATAAAATTAAAATAAAATAATTCTCACAGGTAACAGAAGTCATTCAGAATTGCAAAATCGTATTGAAAAGTTAAAATAGTCCAATTATTAAATTATATAAATAATGGATCATAATTATAAAAGTTCAAAAATCTTTGAAAAGAATCGAAAAGTATTTAAATGATTTAAACCCTTTTCTGGGCTTTTGAAGAGATATTTAAAAATAATTGTCACTTTTTTACAACACGTTTTTATCCCCTATCTGTAGGATCTTACCCTTACGATATGTTGATGTGACTAGGAGTATTGTGATCATGTAGGAATAGTAAAGTACCTACATTCTACGGTTTATTATCAAAAACTTTGCGGGCGGTCCTAATTTTGAAAACATTTCCGACAAGCTTTAGAGCTCAATCGCACAATCAAAGTTTTTATTGGAAATAAACTACATATATTTGATCTATAACTATGAATCGATTTGTTTATGTCAGACGGACATTTAAATAGAAATAGAGACACTTTTATTTTAAATAGAGAATAGATCTTGAAAATCTTCTTGAGGCTCTAAATGTTGAAAAAGACCGTTTTGTTTTCAGCAGAATATCAGTTTTTTTTGTTATCCACTTTATAAATTGCCGCCTCCATAAAACACAGTTTCAAGGGGTATCCTTAATTGTTTCAGAACGATAAAGTTCAAATAGTCGTTATTAAAAATGCATTATGTTTATAAAATATTTTTATAGACTTGGTTTTCTCATCTTATTTTTCCCCATCTTAATTTTTTTACATAAACGACTAAGAAACATTCATTCAAACAAGTCATTATTTAATTTGGAATAAAACTAAATTAATATCTGACGCTTAGGCCTGGTTATTGAAGCCCCGTTAGAGTGAAACTGATTAGCTAAAACTTTTTATTTAAATGTTTTCTTTCGAAAGTACAAAATTATTTTCTATCAGGCATTTGTCAATTATAATATAATAATACGATATTGTGAAATAAAGGTGAAAGCCCAGAAGAAAAATTATAAACAGTAGGAATAAAAATTAAATCAAGAATGTTATGAAAAAAAATGAAATACTCGAAAACCGTGTAAGTTGAGGAATCAGTGAAGACTCCGCCTAAAATGAGTACTAAGAGTGAATATCAAATTCACGCGGGAGCTACCCAGAAAGAATAGACTGAATTAAGCAGAAATTTATGTACGTACATATAAACAAAATCAACTAAAACGAAGAAAGACGTTTTCAAATCAAACCATCTACTGCAGCCTGCTTTTTATAGATAAACAACCCTATGGAAGACTTTTAATAATTAAGCAAAAAAAAAGTAAATGGAAAAAATCAATGCAACCTCAACGACCCTCTATTTGGTGATCTGAATAATCTGGTTGAAAATCTGCTGCTTTTCGCACTACCACAGGGTGTCTCGGAAAAGTTCTCATTTATAGAACATGTGCCAAACGCAAAACAATCAAGCAAAGTATATGTTGGGTTTAGTAAATAATTAAGTTTAATAAATATTTAGTAGGCAATTTAAAGAAATTTTCTGCTTTTCAGATTTTGATCATTGCCAGATATCATCGCCATAGGATAGCTTCCGCAATTTTCGAGGTGGCACTTTCCGCCCAAGTGACCATCACCCACCAGCGGAACCCATTCTTCGTGCCCACAGTCACAGCTCCAGCGGCTGGTGGGCCCAAACTACGCGGTTCCAACCCCATTTTAGCGGTTTTCCTTTTAGTTGCCTCATTCCTTCTTATGTGCGTTCCATACTACATTCTAGTGCTTTACGAGGCCGCGTCTTATGCCCTAAATATTGGTAGAACGGAACTGGTGGAAGTTTCCAATATCCATCATTTTTACATGGCTGCTGGTACATTACTGATTTGTTCACCTGCAGTTAATGGTAAGGAACAAATACGAAGAAATCGCAATTTTGCTTGTTTGGAAAATTTGCATGCAAGATTTGACGTATTTTCCAAATTTTGTCGGCACCGTTGAAGCGGTCTTTTATCGTGTGTTGATCGGCGTGCAATTTAGACATAATGGTGAAGATTGAATTAACGAGTCAGATTATTTGATTCCTTATACTCGACATTCCTTCTTCAAACAACCCATTTCACTTAGCCGCCAAATAATTGATTTGATTTACTTGTGGTGTTGACTCAACTAAGAATATGTTTTCTGATAAATTATTATAATCAGAATTACAAGAAACTCTAATTCTCGTATCTATCAACCATTTTCAGTTATAGTTAATTTTCAAAATATATCTTTGTAGAAGAAACAACAAAACCAAACAAATTTCCTAAAGCTTTCCTTCAAAACTTTCAAATTGTAATTTTGCTTGTTTGGAAAATTTGCATGCAAGATTTGATGTATTTTCCAAATTTTGTCGGCACCGTTGAAGCGGTGTTTTATCGTGTGTTGATCGGCGTGCAATTTAGACATAATGGTGAAGATTGAATTAACGAGTAAGATTATTTGATTTATGATACTCGACATACCTTCTTCAAACAACCCATTTCACTTAGCCGCCAAATAATCTCTATAATATTCGAAAATAGTGAAAAACTAAATAAATTTGATGTAGGTGAAAGGATGATTCGGACACCATATCCCAGTGCATTTGAACCAGTATTATTCGCAAAAATCATAAATTATTAGCCCAGATAATCAATGACTTGTGTTATGTAATTTGGCATGTTTAGAGAATTTTTTGACTTTTTTTAAACAAAATTTGAATTTACGTACATTTATTCTGAAATACAACTAATGTTGAAGAGATTATCAAATTTTCGTCAGCAAAAAAAAATACTCCAATACTGTACAAAATGACTGATTAACAATTATGTCGAGATATTTTCAATATATTTTTATGAGAATCTTTAATATATCTATACTATAAACATAAATATATATTAAAAGAATACAACTTTTTCTTATGTTACACGTTAAGTTGTTAAGAAAAATATACCTATCTAACACCAAAGTTTTACCAATATAATATACTATCTATTGTAATCTATAAACTTTGCCAATACATAGACTTCATTTACTTGAGAATAAATCTGCATACGCGTGTTTCAAAATATTCAATTAACTTTTGAATAATATAAAGTAACTGCATAGCTTTAGGAACTCTATGATTTCGGTATGTAAACTTTAAGTTATTAATTTGTTACATTATTATACAAAACATTACCTTCAATGCTCATAAAATATATTGCGAGAAATTTCCTGAAACAAAGCGTTCGTGGAAAAACAAACAACTATATTAAATTAAGTTGATATCTTGTTGAAAAGAGACAAACAAATCCGACTGCCTGTGATAAAATCCTTTTATTTCCTGATTTATTTTGTCCTTTATATTGCCAACATTATTTGGAGTTGTTTCATTCATTTATCAAAAAAGTTAAATTAAGAAATTGTCTTAGAATACTGATTCTGATTACTTGCGATTATCTTAATGGTTATATTTTTTGAGCAAAATATTCAGCTTCGATTTTTCAAATAATTGTAATATGTAATAATAATTGTAATCTTCTTGCGATAAAACCGTTATATAATCGCGGTTTCTTTCATATTGGCCCAAAATTCGTAACAGTGTATCTAGTAAGTCGAGTCTTCATCTGGATGAATTGCGATTTAAAAAATAGGCTCTTCTTGTTCGTTTTTATCACTAAAAATATTTTTTCTAAATTGCACCTCAAAATCTAGCATGTGCATGGGCAGAATGGGGCTGAATACCCTAATATCTATCTAATATTTAAAGCAAAGATACTCAATTAGCAGATGATTTGCTATTCCAATTATTCAGGCAGAAAAATATAAAACCGCAATATTAATCTGAACTAGAAGAAGTAAAGAAAAATAATGTTAAAAGAAAATTGCTGTTGACAGTCAAACAGGTAGAATCGGAGTAGAGCAATAGAATTCTAAGAAAATAATGCTTTCGGAAAGTTAAGTAGATCTTAATTCGTCTTCGGGTGGAAATAGTAAGTCTCTATTGCCGTGAATTATAAATTGTAATTAATGGACAAACAATGCCTGTGCAGACGAAGCAAATATTACGCAAAAAACTGTTGCCCCAGTAGTTTCCAATAGAAAACACTTATTTGAAAAAGCCTATATATTTGATTCTTTAATTGACTGAATTAAAACTAACAAATTAAATATCAGATAAAATACAGCATCTGAAAGAAACAAAAGAATTATTGAAAATAAGGTACAAAAATTAAGAAGACAAACAACTAATCACTTTTCCACCTTCAGGTTACCTCTACGGTCTAAAAAACAAAAGCCTAAGAAAAGCATTCATGAACTATTGGAGAAAGAAACAAACAAAAAACGAGGTACATCACGAGATCCAAGCACGGACACCAAGCACTTGTGGTTCCCGAAGACCATCACTGACACCATTTGGAGTATTTACGCGAAATCCGAACGTATCCAGACGGATGTCCGAAACACTGATCGATGTAAATAAATCCCTCAGAAGTCCACGAAGCAAAATTAAAAGAAATACGTCTGAGGTGATGTGGAGACCTGCATCAGGTAAAAACAAGTACTTTATAAATCCCTATCAACCACTCCTAAAAGTCCCAGCCATAAATCAGTTGTTAATTGCTTTTCAATATATCGCATCGAATTTTTAAGCAAATAGTTTGAATTTATCACCCAAAGACGAAGCACCGTCGCAATCAATGAAACAAACAATCAGTTGCAATACTCTGCGGGTACCTGAAGAAATCCAAATAGGGACAGAAGAAGAACTGAAAACCGCTGGGCAGAAGGAGGAACCATTCGAACCGATCCCAAAAATATACAGTCCCAGCAATCTGCTACTGAAAATATTCAAGTTCGATGAAAAAATCATTAAAAAACCGCACAATTCACCGCCAAACGACTCAGATGGAAGCCCTAAAAGGTTTGAAGATACAGTTTCGCATTTTTTGTGTCAGTAAATGGTTTTATTCACAAGTGTAGTTTATTATTTCCTTTCTATTTTTTTGTTGTGTTTTGAGTTTGCCTGATACTTAATTCTGAAAAAATTGGACAATGTTGGAGGTACTACTGTATCATATGTACGAGAATAATCAGTACATTAATACTCACAATAGTGGTCAAAGACTTTTTTAAAAGCCCTAATTTAGTGGTAAAGAAACACATGAAAGTGCTCTATTTTAATTCAGCAATATATTTTAATAAATAAAATAATTCCCAATAATTTTTCCTTTTATTCAATTAAAGACTTAAGACTCGTTTTAAAAGCTACACAACCTACCCACCTTAAAGATATTAATTACTTAATTACATGCAAAAAGGTTTAAAAACGTTTTTGACTTGTATAATTAATTCAACTTATTTCGTACATAATGCATTCTCTGCAAAAAATAATCATGTTTACAAAAGCTGTATATCTTTTCCTAACACTTTTTTTAAACGCGAATCATTTTTTCTGAGTTGTTTTTTGCCTAAGACATTTTGAATATAGCACAATTATTTAGTCCTGAAAAATCCTTCGTTAAGTACAGGTCCTACCTGAGTGCCCAAATTATTAAGAAGTCAAGAAAACATTCGGGTATCTGAAAAAATTTTCTAAAAAAATTCTCAGATTCCATATTTAACAGTTATTCTTTAGTTTTAAGCGTTAAAAATTAAACTTTTAGTTAGAATTTTCAACATATTGCTGTTTCATTTTGATGGGTTATTTCATATATTTTACCCTTGTAAAATTCATTATCAGCATCATAATTCCTATAAAAATATGTGCTTTATATTAAAAACATTTCATACATCATGCGCTATATATACTTCAAGATCACCTAGAATACTCATCACTCGAGCTTTTTCCGAAGAAAGCGAGAAAAGCTCCCAAGGCAACTCTCCACACCGGGATATTAATAGGAAACTCTCCAATTCGGCGTCGAACTTGATTGAAAAGAAATTGAGGCAAATTAAGTATCAGGTGGGTAGTTTGTGGGACGAAACCAGAGGAAGAAACTAAAATATTGTTATCGTACTTGTGATAGGATGAAGAAACGGACAGTGATTGCGCTAAATCAAACAGCACCACAAAACCATTGCTGGGCAGTTGCAGTTTGAGTAACCGATCATCTGAGTCGTCAGAAACATCAGGGTCTTCCGGTAAAATCTATATGAACTTAGATGAGCGCAGAATGTCGGTAAGAAAATGGTTTTGTTTTCTTTTTACATTGTGTGATGTGTTTCTGTTTAGATTGGGTGGAAGATGCAAATTGTTTATATTTGCTTTATACGTTTTTATCACAATAAACTTGCTTACCGGCTAATTGTTTCTCATGAGAAGTCTGGAAACCTTCCAAAATCCTATTGTTACTACGGTTTGTGTACGTATTACAAGGGTAGAACTATTTTTACAGTTGTTCGCCTAAGTATTATACAGTTGTTCACCTAAGTCGCATTGCTGGGTTACAAGTTGTCATGGATTGAAAATTAACATTTTTGTGGGAAGACAAAGGGACGAACTACAATTATTGCGCACGTAATGATGAGCTGAAGGCCCTGTACAAAATGCTTCTCATGAGAAACAATTAGCACCCTGAAGAAGACGGTAATAAATCGCCGAAAGCTTAGTAGCTAAAAAAAAATATGTCACCACTGCCCAGACCGAATCCGCAAGAAATAAGACCGTATTTCACCTAAATAAATGTTGATATTATTTTTCTGATAAAAAAATCTTCACTCTATAATTTTTCTGCTGTTTCAGCAGTTTTGTTTAGTTCTTTGTTCGGCTGTCGAGGTATATTTTATCTCTCGAACAACGGAATGGCACAGGCGATAAAGTTTTCTTTTTTCTTTAGCTGTTGTTAACACTTCTTGTCAATAGTTATTTCGCTGGCGAAATGGAAGGCGCTTCATGTGCATTAATTACATCAGAATACGCATAATTTTAAGCAAATATAAAAAATATTTTTTAACTAGTTTGAACTACCAATATTTTGAAAACCAACAGTATGTTTGTATTTATTATGGATTGCCTTAATTTACCAAGCTCTAGTAAATCGTTAAAAGAGATCAACCAAAAATGAACTATTCTGGAACCTTAGTGGATTATTCATCCATATATTAGTTTAAATGGAGTGTGTCTTCTTGTGTTGTTTCTCCCCTTAATCAAAAGGTTTATTGTGTATTTGTCTTCTATCTTATATCACTTATCATGGAACCATGACTATTTGAGACTTTGTCTTCATAGAGTCCTCTCCCTAAAATGCGCGTGTATGTCTAGACTAGTTTGAGCTTTAAATTTACAGCAATTTGCTTTAAATGATGCACTAAATTTCCCTTCTACTAAATTGAACTTTGATACATTTCAGATGGATGTGGCCGACCAGGAATCGAACGAAGAACAACTGCTGCTGACCTGGAATTCGCACAAAAGATACCATAAACCCGAAGACGCTAGACGAAGCCAAAAATCGAACATAATGAAAGTAACTGTTCAAACTAAAGAAATTGTCCTATAATCATTGTCAGTTTTATAGCTAATTCATCATAAATCATCAGCAGCGACTGATTTTGTAACATTACCGAATGCCATGCAATACGTTAAAGAAATTTCGCACATTTCTAAGGTAATAGTTTGAATAATTTCAAGTGATACCAGTTAGATTTTATTTATTACCGATGTACTGATTTAAATAAGTTAAACATCTAGTCATATTTTACTATATTTTATAAGCAAAACACGTCTCAATTAATTAATTATTATAAAGCAACCAAATCATACTTTACTTTCTCACTTCGACGTTAACTACCCGTTCTCGATTTAAAAGAACGAATTTCCTTGTTGCTTTTGTACAGTTTAATATATATTTATTTCCAAAAGTGTTTGAAAAACATTCCTTATATTTTTGACAAATTGCCACTTTTACGTACGATAATATATATACTTTATACTGGAGATTTTTCTCGTACATGAGCTTGTCATTTACACTTCGCCGACCATTAAGCAGTGTCTAGAAAATAGCCTCCCAAAACATTTTATTTTATATTCTATGCACAAATTAGGTTGCATTTAGTGGAATGTACATAGATAAGAAAACAGTACTGCTTTTTCAGTATTATCGATAATTAATCAACATCTAGAGGTCAATAAAATAGCATTTTTGCGTAAAACTGGCTTATGTGAAATTCCACTTAAGATGTACATATTTAGGAAATATTACTAAATAGAATCCTCAAAAACCGAAATTTATTCGTACGCAAAGTCTCTAAAAAACGGAGAGGACAAAATCAAACTAGCTCATTGGCTTCTCTGATGAACCTTATAAAGCATTCCAGAATATTTGCTAAAATAGTGCAAAATTCTATTTTTTTTTTCAAAACAGAGTTTTCATAGTTACGCTTTATAGATTCTAATTTCGAAAAGCAAGGATAAAAATATGTAAAGGATAATATTAAATTCAGGGTACTTTCAATATGAACTACAATATCTAAAGTGGTCCAGATACTTTTCAACAAATACATATTGAGAGCCTTTGAACAATATGTAGCCCACTCACAACCAGATTATTGTGGATGATCAAAAATGTTAATGAAATTTGTTATATATTTATAATATGACAACACCAATGTACAGGGTAACTTGTTATGACTTAAAACCATGCCATACAGAATACATTTACAAATTAAGTGAGAATGCAAAGCCCAAGTAGATGAAACAGCTTTTAAATGTTAGTCTTGGTTTTAAGCAAGTTTTGATGGTGATGGAACTGAAATGCCCATTTCCACAGCTTGATGAAATTTGTCTTAATTTCAATCAAGTATTAGATATAGAAACAACATCAAGTAATATGCAGATAATTTCATATTTGAAGCAAAGTATTAAGGAATATGAAGCACCCGGTATATTTAGGGACCTTCCGAAATAAAGCAAATAATTCAAAACACTAGCTTTGCTAAGTTAATTTGATCTGTTAAATAATGTGGATTTGGTGGTGTGGCAAATAGATGAATAAATTTAAAACAACCCAATGAAATATTTTTAAGCCTATAATATTCCAATTCCGAAAAATTACAACTGTTCGCTAAAAAATAATGCTTCCATCAGACTAAACAGACTTAAAAATAATAAATGTTGAACATATAAATCCAAAGATGCCCAGGCAAGAAAAATTGGAAGAGCAATATTGACTTTATTCCATTCTTATCAGACTGTAATGTTTTAGCTAAACACTGTCCAATTTAGTACAAACACAGCATATTTTATCCGCAAAATTAAATCATTGAAGAAAAACGGCAACAATTAAATAAACCTAAAATTATACTTTATAATAAATTATTTAAAAAATATCACCATAACATAGGGTGTAATGTATAACTATATAAATTCCCATGAAATGCAGTATTATTAACCAATAACAAATAGAGTATTAAAAGTATTTTTAAATAAATCCCATATTAGAAAATGGCGCTCTGATTGTTTCGCATTTAAACCAGTTTATGTGAAGGTTCACTTATTCAATTCGATAATTTGATTTCGTTTTCTCACTTACAACCCAAAGAACAATAACAGGGTTTTGAATAAGCGAGCCTAAATGTTGCTACATATATAGAATAGTTGAAAATCTAGCCCATAAATGTGCAAAAGCGATGGATTGAAAAGATTCAGTTCAGAAATCCATATCAAGATATTCTAAAATTATGTAAATAAATGTTACAAAAAATACCATAACCAGTGTTTAATTTCACTTACCAAATGTGTCAATGTTGGGATAGCTGGTACGATTGTTCTGAGACTCCATTGAATCTGTAAAGGAAAGTGAATTTTTACTTTCATTAAATAAATTACTTGAAAACCTGATTTATCGCATATTTCAAGTATAAAAAGGTTAGACAAAACAATCAATTCTTAGGTTCAATTTAGAGTTGATGATAATGTTAACGTAAACCAATGACATGCGTATAACACAAATATTACACGCATGTAATTTAATTAATATAAAATCTAAATGATATTATTATAATCACAAAATTAAATTTTTGTATCAATTTACATGAATTTCCAATCATGCAAACCAGAACGAAATATCCTTAAAATTGCAATAACTGTTGAACAATTCGGAAAATAGGTACTTTCGATAATGTGTACGACACTTGTTAAAGGCAAATCCTAAAATCGAATTTTAGCAAAACATCTTTTTTACTGCTTCCGTGAGTTCTGCAACGCTTCAAATATTATGAAATTTTATGTTTTAAGGTTTCAATATTTAAATCGTTATCTTTCCTTAAATTATACCATCTTAAGATTAACTGTTTGTCGGTAACTTAACCGGTTATCGGTATCTCATTTGAAAATAAATGCTAGTAATACAGGTTCACTGAAAAACTTGCAAAAAGCAAAACATGGGATTCCGGATTAAATTTTATCGTATTTCCAAGTTGCAATCGTTCTATGCATTTGTAAAACACAAATTGTTTCAAAAGAAATGATCCACAATTTCCATTAAAAACACAACAATTTCACCACTCAGAAAGTATCTGAAGAAAACAAATTTAATTTAATAGTTTACGTGTTTATAGTACTTCTGCACAATTATGTTGAAATGAACTTTACCTAGGGTAAATACTACCTAGAACATCGGTCAAAATTGAATTTAGACCATTTAATAAAATACAATTTGAAGATAAAATCGTCATCGTCGTGAAATAGTTTCTGCCTGACGTTTCGCAAGCACGAGTTGCTTGCATCTTCAGCGCTAGTTTGTTGGCAAGCTAACATTATTTTGATTAGTGCATGCGAAAAGTCAGGAGGACCGTAATTCGCGCCTACCTAAAAAAGCGAAAAACTCACCAGTTTCCTTTAATAAGGGGTTTCTTTTTGCAATATTAAATGTTAATAATTTCTTTGTACACCAATCTTTAAAATAGCTGCTTAATTGCTGTTAATTTGTAGGTATAAATATATACAAAATTTCAAGTTACTTCCAGTTTTGCATTTAACTTCATTCATTTACTAGGTAGCTATTGAGTGAAAAAATTAGCCGTTAAAATTAGTTTTCGAGGCTATAGTTCTAAGTTATAAAGAACTCGAAATAATCATTTTAAAATTTCTTATATAATATACAGGTACATGAAGCAGATGCTTAATATATGATACACACTTATTGCATTAAGAAAAAGTGTCAGAGCTACCCACCAGTACTGAAAACCATCTTAAAATCTAGTCCTTTCCAGTAGGAAAAACACATTTAACACATGATTTGTAAACGCTGTAGTTCAATAAATTCTATTTCGTTTAGGTAAATTTAATACTTTGCTTTAAATGTACTTTTCTTGTTTATTCACCATTGGTCTCATTATACGCATTGCTATAATTAAGATATTAAGAAAGAATCCTTACATGCATTGAGTTCATAAACGCAATCACCAATGATTCAAACATTTTTTAAATATGTGTTTGTTGGATTTGCAAAAAATTAAACGTGTTAACTGTACACGTGCTTCTAAAAACACAGTGAAAATATTAAATAAATTACTGTAAAGAGCGTTGCGAATTACTCGAAAACTGTTAAGAGGAAAACTTATCTGGAACTGATTCTAATCATAAAAATTCGCATTTTGTACGTTTTAATTACACAGTAGTTATATTGAGCTTGTTAAAGTCCGTGTATACCTAATGTATATAACTTCCAAATTTGCAGAAAATAAATTTTAAATGCACTCAATTACAAAACCAATTTTACATTTTTTTGTTCTAAATTCTACTGGATTTTTAATTTCAGTTTGGTGTTATTGGCAACAATGGAATCACATAAAAACCCACATAACAGAGCACATAATTCCAATCCGAGGTTATGATAGAAACTGCGTTTATTATTTACAAGAAATAAAAGAATGTGATTAAATACGATGTACAGTCATCTAGAAAGAACCAATTTACTTACTTAATTATTACAAATATACAGTTCCAATTAAACAATTGCTTTTTTCACTAGACAAACACACACTTTTCTATTAATCTACTGTTAAAACAGATTTGCTTATGGACATACGCGAGAAAATGTGAAGGCCGACTGAATACTGAATTAATTCAGAATTATGAAAAGAATGAATTATGAATTGATTTTCGTTAAAACCGACACTTAAATTAAATTTTAATGGGACCGGAGAAGTAGATTGTGAGCAAATGCATTCAATTACACATACACACAAATTTTATTGTTATAATATTTGCAAGTCTACGACTTCAGTATTAATGTATATATACATAATATCTTAGTTCGCTGAATTTTATGATGCAGATTTATTGAGGAAATATTTACTTACTTTATTTGCAATCAAAAGGCAATAGTTATAAAATAGATCCGGCAAAAATATAATTTTGAGAAATGATTACTTTGAAGTGCATACAATATCCATGATCGGTTATTAAACACTAGGTATCATTAATTTTGCTCGTCAGCGATGTTGCAAATATAAAATACATAATAAAGGAATAGCACCGAAAAACAACATTATGAAAAATTGCATATAATTTCTATGATCAGTTATAAAACACCAGTTATCATTACTTTCGATTACTACTAATAACGCAAATATGAAACACAACAAAAGGTGATAACATTCCTAGGAAAATAATTGAGTAATTAAATTGGCAATTAAAACGTCATTTCAAATAAACTTAATTCATAATAAAATCGCAATCAATTCTTAAATTTTTAATAAGTTTATAATGGACTAGTCAAGTTACTCAAGTTCAATGTAAGCACTTAAAGCGAAAAATCGTCTGAAGATGGTAGCTATCCGTGCTACCGAAACGTTGTTAGTAAATCCTTAAGCCGAAAACCAGTAGTTTTTCAAAAGATGGTCGCAAAACCATCTCGATAATTAAGATATTAAACAATGTCTTCAAAATATACTTTACAAACCAGATTTAAAAAAAGACAGTATTATTAAACTTTCCTAACAAAAGTTTTCTTAATCTATGTGTCTTGCATCCAACTCATTATGGAATAGTTAATAATAAATAGTATGTATCGAAATTTGTTATTAAATGCATGTAAATAAATTCAATAAAATTTGATAAGTTTTATGCGATCAAGTAATTACAAGTTGCAAATCAAGCTGAATTTGAATAATCCACTAAAATAAAACATCAAGAAATATCTGCGCATTTGAGAAATGATCATAACAAACAATTACCGACCTAACATAAAACACCACTAAGCTTCGTTATACACTTAATTAAAAAACAAATTGAATTTTCCCTGTTTTTCACATTAATCAGGTTATTAAATCAACTTGCATCAATTCAACTAACTTTCATGGCCAATTAAAGTCAAGGCAGAAGCGTTATCAAACAATGGGAACTAACTGATTCATAGTATGAAAATTTTCCTCGAATCTTTCAATTCCATTAATAAAACACTATTGGTACAGGGTGTTTCTCAAAAGTCTTTGGGCAAAGCTTTGGAGGAAAATGTAAATGTATATGATAAATCTTATGGTATGTAGCAAGTCAATAAACTTAGCGGTAACGTAGCCGTTAAAAGTAACAAATTGCGTTAAAAAACCCTATGTATCTTTTATTATTCCTTTCCTTCTAAATCGGTTTTCACAATCCGTAAAAACCGTTGGTTTTTATTTCGTTGCTCGATCTATTACTCGATAATAAAATTAATAAAAGACTACAAAACAGTTTAATTTATTTAATGTCTTCTTCTCGGATCTCTCTTAATTCTTTCTCAGAATACTGCTCTGTATTTTCTTAATAGTTTGGCACTTCTATATTATTATAAGCATCCAAATAGTATCTATGTTAATAATTGAAACAGCATGACCAATTAAATCAAAATGGGAATAAACATTTATGCTTAAGATGAAAATCGAAAATATAGGCTTACCTACTACCAGTAGTGTCTCCAAGTTTCTCGATCTGTTTTGAAAACGCTCGGTAAATAACATTTAAAATTATAATTGTCATGGGAAATTTTATTACAACAAAATATATGTAGTAGAATAATTACTTTAACTTATCAGATTATTATTATTATTAAAAATTATAATTTACTGCTTACGCTCAAGCTGAACCAATTAGTTTCCTAGTTTCCTTATTGTGTGTAGATTTGAGAACAAAACGTCATGGCAAAATAAAGATAATTTTTATTGCAAAAAACTGAAACTTAATGTACAATAAGCGGAATGGTAGGTAATGTTGGTTCCTCTAAGCAAAAGCTCGAATGAACAGCTGCTAAAGTAATAAAAGTAATTTTATTAAGCAATGTTGATAAGAGCAAATACATATTGTCACATATGCGTAATAAAAATAAGAATAATATACATAATGGTGATAAATTCAATAAGGTTAAACGTTCAGCAGGTCTGAAAGGTAGAATTTCGACATGTTTTGTCATTATTATATATTGCAACTGTAGGTATAGAAATAAAAGAGCAAAAATATTTTCTTGAATGAATTGACAAATATTTTCAACTTCAAAAGCGAATTCAAAAATTGAACCATGACGATATGGTAACTCTCAAACAATTTGGATATATATGCGGACTAATTCTTGAGATTATCTACTTATGTTTAGCATTTGGAACACAATGAAACTGATGAGATTAGATAAGTGGAAGTGGAAATACAGTGGAAAAATATTCCAAATGTGCGCATGTCCCTCATAGCCGAAAATTTACATTGGAGTTTTTAAGTTAATAGACATAAAAATTACGAGTGAACGTAAATTCATGATTAGTTTCAGACCAATAAAAAAACGACTGACTCGATTTCTGAGCATTTTGAAAAAA